TGACTCTTCCCCCCCACCCCCCCTCAGTATTGAGTGTCTGGAGCTGGGGTGGGAGGAGCAGTGCCCCCACATTGGTGTGGGTTGTCCTGGTAGAAATCCTGCCAGTAGTGGGAGATAAGGGGGGCTCTTAGTGATGCCCCCCCATCTGTGTGGCTGAGCTTTGGCAAGATCGCTATTAATAAGGGAGCCTGAGTGCTTCCTCTATCCATATAGAGAGGGTCCCCTATTAGTATCTGGGATCTGATGGGACCCTCTCAGTATTGTGGGGGGGTTAAGAAGACCTGGCAGTGACCCCCCCATTGGTTTGGGGGTCTTGGCAGGGCCCCTTGTCAGTACTGGGGGTTAATAGTGCCTTCCCTGTTTGTATGGGAGAGCCCTGGCCAAGACCCTTGACTGCATGAGGGCCTGGCAGCCCCCCCCCGCCGTATTGCTCACCCCCCCCCCTTGCATCTTGACAGTACTGAGGGCTAAGGGATTTTCTCAGTGACCTTCCTTTTCCCCTTGATGTATAGGGAGGATCCCTGTCAATATCAGGTGTTTGGGGCCTGGCAGGATCCCCCACTTGTCAGTATTGGGGGTATAAGGAGGCCCCATTAGTATCAGGCATCTGGGGCTTGGCAGGACCCCCCGTCAGTACTGGGGGGTAAGGAGGCTTGGCAGTGACCCCTGTTGGTATGAGGGTCTTGGTAAGGCCTCTTGTTAGTACTGAGGGGTAAGGGGTGGGGGGCTCGCAGTGTCCACTCTGTCTGTATGGCATAGCCTGGATAGGGTCCCTATTAGTAATGAGGGGTAAGGGAGCATGGCATTGACCCCCTCATCGGTATGTTGGAGCCCTGGCATGGCTGGGGGTTATGGGGGCCTCTCAGTGACTCAACTCTCCCCCCCCACCATGTGGGAGCCCTGGCCAAGATCCTTGTCTGTATGAGGACCTGGCAGCCCCCCCTGGCTGTATTGATAATGGGTAAGGAGGCTTTCCAGTGATTGCCTGTATCAGCAGTGATGGTGGCCTCTTAGTGACCCCTCTCCCATCTGTATTTGGGGCTGGTAGTGTCTGTTTTGGGGCCTGGCAGCTTGCAAGAACCCTCTGTCAATATTGGGGAGGAGGGTAAGGTGGGACCTATTACTGACCCCCCTGTATGTATGGAGGAGCCCTGGCAGTACTGGGGGTTAAAGAAGGGTCTTTCAGTGCCCCCCACCCCCATCTGTCTGGGGTGGTGCTCCCTGTCTGTGTTGGGGGGGCTAGATCCTGGCAGGATTCCTTCCCCCCTGTTGGTGTGAGGGGGTCTTGGCAGGGCCCCTTGTCAGTGCTGGGTGGTAAGGGGGCCTTAGCATGTGTTTGGTGGAGTCCTGGCCAAGACTCTCATCTGTGTGAGAGGCTGGCAGTTCCTGCTGTGGTGACTGGGTGCTGGTAAGACCTGGTCAGTATCGGTGTGGTAAGTGGGGACCTGTTAGTGACTCCCTCCATTTGTATGGGGGAGTGCTGGTAGACTCCTGGCAGTATCAAGGGGCAAGGAAGCCTCCCAGTTATCCACCGATTTTATGGGGGAGCCATGGCAGGACTCTTTTGAGTAACAGTGGGGCAAGGAGAGCTCTGTGATCTCCCCCCACACTATATGGGGGGAGGATGTTGGCTGCCCCTACTGTGGGGACAGGGATCTAGCAAGGTTTATGGTCTGTACTTAAGGGTAAAGGGGGCCTCTCAGTGATCCCTCTGTCTGTATAGCGGAGGCCCTGTGAGTACTAGCGGGGCTGGGGCCTGGTAACAGGGTCTGGTAGTGATCCCATGTCTGTATGGAGGAGCCCTGGCAGGGTGATAGTGTTTGCTTTGGGGGCTGGGGACTGGCAGCCCCTCCACCCCTGCGTTGATATGGAGGATCCTGGCAGGGCCCCCTATTAGTGTTTTTTCTCCCCCACCTCTCCCTGTCTGTATGTATGAGAGTCCTGGCAGGACCTTCAGGGGCTGACAATGCTTACTGTGGAGGCTGGGCCCTAGTAGGGCTCTGTTGTTAGCATTGTTGGGGGTGCTATGGTGGCTCCATAATTAATAATTAATTCTTCATGTTAGTATGGGGGAATTCTGGAGGCCGCCTTCGGCAAGGGGAGTTCTGGTCATGCCCTCCTATCAGCATGGGGGGGAAGGGGAGGACTGGATGTGCCCCTGTTGGTATCAGGGGCTGGCAGTGCCTGCTGTGGGGACAGGGGCCTGGCAGGACCCCATGTCAGTATGGGGGGACTGTTGGCACCTGGCACTTCTGTATGGAATTGAGGGCACTGCTAGGCCACCCTCCAGCGTTCCCCCCCCCCAGCTCCAGACACTCATTAGAATCAGGGCTTATCAGTGTTTCTCTTTCAATAATTGAGCAAATTCCTTGTCTGTATGGATGTGGGGGCTGGCAGGCCCACCCTGCTGGTATGGGGGAGGCCTGGAAAGGCTTCCTGTCGAGAGGGGGGCTGGCAATGCCTGTTGTGGGGGCTAGGGCACTCTCTTGTCAGCAACAGGCAGCCTTATTGCTACCCTCTATCAGTATCCGGTCTGGCAGGGCCTCTTTGCTGTTATGGAACCCAGGGAGCTGGAGATAACCTAATAAGGGGCAGCGACCTGTCAGCACCCCCCTACTGGCATGCAGGGGCTGGCACAGACCCCTGTCCACATGTGGGGAGGCTGACAGGGCTTGCCAGAACAGGATATGGGGCCCTAGCAATACCCACTGGTGCTATGGGGGAGGGGTGCTGGCAGTGCCTGCCAGGAAAATACCCACTTGGTGGTATGGGGAGGCCGGTGGTGGGAGCAAGGGCCTTTCTGTGCCTCCCTAGAAGTACCATGGAGCTGAGGGGTGCCTGGTGCTTGCCGGGGCGGGGGGGTCATGCCTTCTGTCAAAAGGGGGGCTCTGGCAGTGCCTGCTGGCAGCCCTGGGGGGCTGCCAGGGGGATAATGGAGATGCTATGGGATGACTCTGCTCCCCTGGAGTACCCCAAGGTGGGGTTGGTGCCCCCTTGCCTGCTCCACTGGGGCTGCTCACAGGAGGGCACAGGGGTTGGCAGTGGTGCCTGGTAATGGGGCAAAGGCATTACTGATCACCTGGCTGAGGGCTCCTGCCCCAGGGGCTGGCTCCACAGGCTCATCTCAAGCAACCCCACGGTTCCTAGCTGAGCTGGGACATGAGGTGAGGAAGTGGAAAATCTGCTCTTGACCCAAGCTGCACCCCCCCACCACAGTGACATGGCCAACATGGCTGCCACAGCTCTGGCCTTTGTCTGGTGAGCAGTAGGAGGGGGTGGATAGTGTGGATCTCTTCCTCCTGCTGCCCCCAGATCTCAGGGTTGCAGGGGCAAGAGGGATCCCCCTTTCATTCCCCCCACCCCTTGCCAGCCTTTGCTCCACCCCCTCCTCTTTGTGACCTGAGTCTTTTCCTGTTCCATGGAGATCCCCCTGCAGGGCTGGGATCCAAAGCTGGGGAGGGCGGGGCAACTGGGTGGATGGCTACCCCCTGCCTGCCTCCATTCCCCCCCACCCTTCCTATGAGGCTGAGGGCATGGGGCCAGCTTCCCAGGGGGCTTTCAGCTCCATCTGGTTGTGGGGGAGTGTTATTGTCCTGGCCTCTCAGCATGCAGCCTGCTGAGCCCGACAGCTGGGAGGCTATGCTGGCCTCTGTCAAGGCAGGGCTGGGGGTGGGGAGTGTCAGTGCTGCCTTGGGGGTTCCACATGCCTGTGGAGGGGGCCTGAGTGTTCTGAAGTGAGGGCAGACCTTGGCCTTGGGGAATGCTTCTGCTTTGTGGCACCAGGGGCTGCAGGGAGAAGCGGCATGCTTCTCTGTTGTGTAGCAGCAGCCCCCAGAGCAGGCTGTGTCATGGGGCAGTGAGAGCTGTCCCTCAGTTGTCCCACCACAGAGCAGGCTGCATTGTGGGCCTGTGTGAGCTGTCCTCCACCTGCCCACACCTGAGCAGGCTGCATCACGGGGCCATGTGAGCCATCCCACTCCAGAGCAGGCCTTGTGGGGCTGTGTGAGTTGCTCTCCAGCTGTCCTACCCCAGAGCAGGCCATCTCATGGTCCCATGCAACACCAGCACCACACAATTGTCCCACCCTGGAACTGGCTGGATCTTCCT